GCTCTTCGACCTCCTCTTCGAAGAATTTCAGTTTTGCATCTGATCCTTCAAAATGGCCGACAATTGCCACGACCTCTACTCCAAAGACTGTATGATGCAATCAATGACTACAACCACATCAAGCAGCGGGATGATCAACGACCAAGATGGGGCATCCACATGACAGAAGCCCACCTACTTGCGATTGCTGATACCCCGATTCCTGCCGATCGTGAACGTACTAACCCAGCAGCTGGCAAATCAAAGGCAGCCCCGAAGGCAGCACCAGCACTGGGCAGAGTGTCAAAAGCGAAAGCATCATCGTCAGCAACATGGAGAACCGTCGAAGCCGCTCCTCCGCCAAAACAAGCTCCAGTAACCCCGCCGCAGAAAGGTGGAAAAGACCAAGGGAAAGGTGGAAGATCTTATTCGCACCGTGGTGGAGACTGGAACCAACATGGATACTATGGATGGGGATATAGATGATAAATCGATATGACCTCTGCATAGGTCCTGATTGAACCTGGCGAAGCGAGGATGCAATCATAGCTCGAGATTTACCTCTACTTCATTTCGAATGACTTCTGAGAGGACTCTGAGCCGGCTAATTTAGAACCACATTTTTTTTTGAACATCATTGCACGAGACGCTGAGTTTCTACAGCGGTCTACATCTCAACCGACGAAGGAACGGGAAGGTAAACTTCTAGTTCCATAGTCATCTTTGTATTTTGATTTTTTTTAATTCACATGCGTGAGTGGGATTCCATGCTGGCTACGCCACATCGGATGAACCTCAATGCTGGACACCGACTACGTCGTGTCAGCATGCACGTGAACAGAACCTTTATCTTTTGGTAGAGATCGTAGCAAGCCGCAATGTAGATTGGAAGTTCTGAACGGACTTTAGCTCTCCATAATTAAATAAATGAACAGCTGCAGATCTAGTGGAACAATTTAAAGGACACTCCTTTGCGCGTGGCCAACAAAGTTGGCCATGCGTGGGGGGTGCGAATGGAGTGTAGGCTACGGACTACTACACACTCCAATGTAATTCAGCTCCTAGTTGTCCACTACCAAAGGATGCATCAAATTGCACCTTTGGCTCAAGACTACTGCAGGTACCGGAAGAAAGTATCGCCATGCTGAAGCCGCAATTCCCGTGCCGTCGTCACTGAAGACATTCACTTCTAGACCAAACACAAGCACATAATCGGGGAGATAACCTCCGATTCACATAATATATATATATGCACCATATTGTCATCTTACATCCCTGCTTGTGACGATGATTTAAATTCTACATGTGAGGGGGGGCAGCACCAAGCTGATTCAGAGCACCTTAAAAGTTACTGTAAGGAGAGGGTTGTCCCATGGTAACATGACTGGAGACCAGGACAAAGTCTGCAACGAAGAGGCCCAGTGGACCTGGTTTTTCTAGACTCTAGGGCATTTGTTTTGGGTTCCATGGGTTCCAAGCTTTTCTATCCGTTTTGGGTTTTGTTGGTTTTCTGATGCTCTCCTCCTTTTCTATTTTTTTTTTGGGCCGTATTGGAATGGATTTGGAGGACCCCCCGAGTTTTCGAAGGCAATGGTTGGCCTTCGACCTCGCCGGGATGGGGGGGCATTGTTATCATGAGCAAATTCATGATGGTTACTATAATGTACCTAGAACAACGGTCATCTGAGTGAAATGCTCGATGGGAAATGGTGATGTCCTGTGATTCAGCCTCAAGGAAATGCTCGATTTTCGAAGTTTGGAAAGCGTTCGCCAGCACCAGCGCCATAGAACGGACCTTGCGGTTTGGTGATTTTGTCCTTGGTTTTTCGGCATTTCCATGGGGTGTCGGTCACTTCTTGAAGCTGTCATGGTGATATGGTGGAGCTTCTCCGAGAGGCCCAGATGCAGGGTGGTAGTTTCGCCCTGCTGATGTGCTTGGCCGCCTTGGGCTACGCTGGGGGCCCCGGCCATTGGACTTTGGGTATCGAAGTAGAGGTAGAAAGCCAATTGTGGGGCAATTTTTGGGAGGAAAATGAGGCATAAACCAGGAAATCCACGGCGAAAAAATTATAGAAGTGGGGAGTTTAAGAGTTTATACAATCATGAAATGGATTGAAATGGTAATTCAACCATCACAAACCAGGAATATATCTTTTTATACAGGTCATTTACTTTGGTGCCCTAGTGACGATCTCGAAAATATGAACAGCAAAGGCTACAATGGGAGGATGGTAAATCGTCCTGATTTAGTTTTGGAGTGTTTAATTTTGAACCATCGCCAAGTGTGGTCACTTGATTCATTGATTGTCAGGAATGGCAACTTTCAGACCCAGCGCAAGGCATTTGATGAATTTCAAGAGAACTTTCGTAGCTGAGTGTTGGGAAAGAACGAGAGTTTCGTGCGTGGATATCTTCTGGTGGCGTTTGATTGTTGGAGGCTAATATAGGCTAATATTCTGTGTTCCTAATTTTCGAGTTAGACAGTTTATTAGTTTCATTCTTTTTGAATTGTCCAAGCTGAGTCCAACTTGAGCTGATCTCATGCCACGATGAACCCTTGGGGGATGACCTCAAAAAGGCCTGGTCCAAAGAAACTGACCACACAACGGCATTGCTCGGAAGCCCAGCTAGAAAAAATCTACTTGATCTACTTCTTGAACATGTTAAAACCAAGAGAATCCAAGTCATTCTACACAAAGCATGGTGATCAAGATCATAACATAGGAATCGCAATATATATATAATTAATTATAATTATATATATATGGATATATATATATAAATATATATGGTGTGAATATATATATATATATACATGGCACATTCGACATATAGAATGATGCAACATCCTGGATGTATCACGGACCCATTCCCGTGCCCAAAAAATCTACGCCTCGACCCTCGACCTCACCATGCCGCCCGGACGCGAGCGAGCGCCGTCCTCGAAGGCCAAGGAAAAACAGGTGCCCTGACCGCATGGAACGGCGGAAGAGGATTTACCATGATTTACCCATATAACTCTATAATACTCTATACATATGATTTTGAGGGTTCCATGTTTGATTTAGAGGCTGTAGAATTTTCATAAGAATCAATCACAAAGTTATTTTGGGAACTGCTCACGGATGGAACGTGGTCCAAACTACGCCACAGATGAGACCTGACTCTCATCATTGCCTATAGACCAAAGGAAAAAACAATGACTGATCTAGTGGTTTTCATTATCTAGAAAACCATCTGGTTTCTCGGTTCAGGATTTTCCTTTACTAACCATGACATACAACTCTAATATCGTTATTATAGTGGTATATGGTAAAATGGTGTCAAAAATGCCATGGTTCTCCTTTCGGAAACCCAGGAGTCGCCAACAGCCTTCACCAGCTTTCCAGACTTCTCGCGCATCAACGATGAGTACCTCGTCATATCGTACCGGGGACGAGGGTATGCCATAGGATCCATAGAGAACCAGGCCGCCAGGTGGAGCCGACTTCAGCAAAAATGGGACAGATATGCAACAGATATGCTACATTTCCCTTCATTTCCTAAGATTTGTAACATTGTCTTTTGAAGCTATCTCAGAGTAGCAATGGTTTCGTCTCAGATGTGAGTTTTTTTTTCATAACCTGGGTACCAAACCTGAGCCCAAAAACACCAATGTTTTTGTTTTTTCAAGTGCTTGGGACCTTGGGATCCCCTGGGCCCATGTTGACACCCTGCAGATGCTTCAACGGAGTCAAAGAAGACACCTTTTCAACACCGCGCCCGACCAGTGGCGGAAATCGAAATGGCGGCCTTGGCTTAGGCCCGGGGTTTGTGTCGGTGTCCCGGGCCAGTGGGATCATCGCACCAAATGGGGATCAGCAGGGTTAGTCAAGTAGTTTTTTGGTTCACACTTAAAGGTTGTGTGAATTAAGTGGGGAAAAAATGGGAAAACATGGGAAAAATTGGAAAAAGATGGGAAAAGATGGAAAAGGTAAGTCTTTGCTGGTTTCCGCTGTTCTCCGCTTTGCAGAAACAGCCGCATTGAATTCGCTGAATGTCTTTTGGTTTTGTGTGCCATGGCCGCCACGTGTTGTGAATCAGCATCTGACTTTTGCCAGCGTTGACATTGCATGATTCAGAGTCAACGCTTGGAGCTTTGATTTCACTTTCAGTTTGGATTTTAGTTCCCATATCAGGGCATTATTTGAAAATGGGGAGCTTGCTAACAACAGTTACCTGAATAATCATAGGAGGTGTTTTTTTTTGTTTTGCATTTTGTTTTTTTCCTGGCTCCTGGTGGCTTCTGTGGCTTCTGTGGCTTCTGTGGCTTCTGTGGCTTCGTGGCTTCTGTGGCTTCTACGGTCCTGGCTCCTGGTGGCTCCTGGTGGCTCCTGGTGGCTCCGTTGGCTCCTGGTGGCTACTGTGGCTTCCGTGGCTCCTGCTGGCTCCTGGTGGCTTCTGTGGCTTCTATGGCTCTTGGCTCCTATAGCTCCTCCCCTCCTATGGCTCATCTATCATCTATCGGAAACTATCAATCAATCTATCGGTGAAGCATGTTCACCAGGTGCATGTTGTGCATTAGATACACCTTGAGTATCATTCATCCATCCATCCACCCATCCACCCACCCATCCACCCACCCATCCACCAAAAAACAGAAAAAAAAAAGAAACAAACAAAAGAAAAAAAAACAGAAAAAAAACAGAAAAAAAAAAAGAAAAAAAAAAAGAAAAAAAGAAAGAAAACAAGAAAAAAAGAAAAAAAGAAAAAAGAAACAAAAAGAAAAAAAGAAAAAAAAGGAAAAAAAGCAAAAAAGAAAAAAAGAAAAAAAGAAAAAAGAAACACACAGCAAAAAAGAAAAAACAGAAAAAAAAAAAAAAGAAACAAAAGTAAAAAAATACACAAAAAGAAAAAAAGAAAACACAATAAACCAGCCAAAAAAGAAAAAAGAAAAAAAGAACAAACAGAAAACAATAAAACACAATCACAAAGAAAAACATACAAAAACAACAATCAAACCATCCAACCCATCCACCCATAAAAAAAGAAAGCAGAAAACAAAACAAGTCAAACAATCCACCCATCAACCAAATCAAAACATCAAACACCACCACATCAACCAGCAACCCACACACCAAACCCACCCAAACCAACAACACCCAACCCCACACCCACACCACACCACCCACCCATCCATCCATCCATCCATCCATCCATCCATCCATCCATCCATCTCTATATTTCTATCTCTATATATATCTCGATCTCTATCTCTATCTGAATCTTTATCTCTATATCATTTCTATTTCTATCTATCTAGCTATCTGTCTAGTTCTATACATATATACATATATATATATTATATCTATATCTATATCTACACCTACATCTACATCTATATCTATATCTATCTACAAGGTTTGCAGCGAGATGATATTCAAACCTCAAGCCAGCCCTGAACCAAGCCAGAATATATAGTACACCAACATTATATAAAGAGATCTTAAACCAACACGGTGATAGCATCCAATGAAACTATTGTGCATCGCTGTGCCTTAACCTACAGTCCACATGTTTCCAGGGTGCATGTCGTGTAGTATATACACCTTGAGTATCACATTCAACCCAGCACCTTGCATGTGAAAATAGGTGTTTCCAATCTGGTTTGGGGGGAGGCGCTGCGCCCTCCAACCCAATCCCCCCCGCCCGCTTTTGTAAAACTTAAATTCAAGCTTGCACACTTTTCAATTCACTAGGTTGATTAGACTATATATACAATATACCTATATACATATATAAATACATGTAAACATATATATATATACACACATCTTTATGGTTGCTTATATACACAGCTTTCATCCCAAAATAAACTATAAAAAATCATGGGCATGCATGTGCATCCACATAATTATAGTCGTTTGTATGTGCATGTTGCATCCCTAAATAACCCCTAATCCAACCTTAAACAAATTTGAACCCCATGTATAGCCCGCTAGATGCTTTAGAGCCGTGTCTATACAGAATAGCCTGGTATAAACTGGAATGGCCACAGTATGAGGGCGTATAAAGTGGAAAACCAACAGGTTATAAAGTCACAAACCAAAGTCTTTAAAGTCGCCTGGCCACGTAAAAACATAAAAGTCAATGTGGATTTGTGATGGTATTTGCGAACAATTCCCATTACTATAAAGTGAGGTGTGCAACAACCAAACAGCAATACTTGTGTCGAACAGTGGTACTATAATAATCCCTGCCCTCTTAAAAATGAAATTTGAGGGGGGGAAGTCGTACTGAAATTTCAATTTAGAATTCCATTTTTGCATTTTGTTTCTCAATGATCAACATTCCTCGTCATTCCATATCATTGGCAAGCAGTTGCAAATTAAATACTTGCGCTTAGCTCCGGATGAGCTAAGCACATGTCAGACTGAAGCAGCACATGTGTAGGGGTGGCATCCCCCCAAAAATTGCGTTGCCGTCATCGTACTTGCGCTTAGCTCCTCCGGAGCTAAGGGCAAGTATTTTCTAACCAGTGCCCAAGGCTTGTTACGAAATGTTACTTAAAAATTCCATTTGAGGGGTTGGATCACTATCCCAGGGTTTCCAAGCAAAAAAAAGTGGATTTCGACAGGTTGGTTCTGTCCCCCCCCCGCCTTCCCCCCTCTATAGGGGTAGGGATCTACAATATACTACAATGTGGGTTGCCCAGTAAACAACGATCGTTGTAATATCGATGGTGCTCTTAATCACGTCGATGGAAACATCAACACAAACAACTGTGACCATCAACACTGTGGTGCTTTCAACCGTCTGTGCTACTCTTTCGTTGAAGCTCAAACCAACCTTAAAGAAGCCTTAAACCAACCCTAAATAGACCCCAAACAAATCTAGAATAAACCATAAACCATCCCTAAATAAACCCTAAACCAAGCCCTGCAGAGATATTAAATACATTTCTAAATGCACGGATCAACATATGCATATAATCATGATTAGTCATGCACGTATACCTCTATACATCTACAGTTTATAGTTTGCACATCGTGTATCTCCAAAAACCAACGAAAACTTCGGAAAAATCAATGAACACCATGTAAAAATCAATGAAAACTGTGGAACAATCAATGAACACCAGTGAAAAATGAATGAAAACCGTACAAAAGTTGAAGGAACACATAGAACAATTGAAGAAAACCATTGAACAATGGAAGAGAACCATGGAACGATCGAAGAAAAACATAGAACAATGGAAGAAAACCATGGAAAAATTGAAGATTATTATGGAAAAATTGAAGAAAACCATGGACAATCTACGAACATCATGGAAAAATCAATGAAAACCATGCAAAACTCGATAAACACCATGGAAAAAAACATGAAACCAGTGGAAAAAATGATGAAAAGTGCGAATGAGAGATTTTAGCTACAAAATGCAGCAAATGAGAGATTTTAGCTGCAAAAACCACGGAAGGGAGCCTGGACGACCAAGAAAAACAATGGCAAAAAAAACAACAACTTAATTCTGCGGCCATAATCATATTCGGTGGTTCACCCCACTTCGTAAGTGGGTTAGTTCACTTGATATATACGTGGACTAACCCCTGCTTAGCCTATTTATAACTGGGGTGAACCAACCCACATACGATTCCTGGGGTGCACTGCGGAGGCACCGAGAAACGCTGGGGTGTGGTGGACAACGTCTCCATCAAGGTCAGTTTCTGAAACAAGGGCCGTAAGTTGGTTGGAAGAATTCCGCGGAGCCAAGGACTCCTGAAAATGGGTAATTTCTTTGGTATGTTTTTGACATTTTTTAGGACAAGAACGAGTGTTTGGCACCGTATTTGTCAAAACATCTATAGGAATGAGCTGTTTGCTGCTACAAAGTGGGATATATGGGCCAAGTCCACGTGCGGTCCCCAATAGGCCTAGGGAATCATCGCACAAGAGCGACAAAACATGTCTTTTCGTCACCATTTTGTTGATAATTCCCGATGAACATTCCCAAATTGTCTCACAATTCTAGGATGATGAAACTGCCCAGTCAATATATGACCTATATGTTTCACAGAATTGGTCGAATGTTTTTGTTGCTTCTGAACTCCCCACAGTTTCAGCGGCAGGATTTGTTGTGGGTCTGTGACCAAACCTTTGCCAAGACTGCGCGACAAATTTGTTGCTCGCTCTCAACACGTGGAAGGGCAATGCTGGCCAAACAAGTTAAGGTTAGCTGGTAAAAAGACAGTTTTTAACATGTACATATGTAATTATATGTACATACTAGACTATACTAGACTCATAGATACTCATAGGCTTGTTTTTTCCGGCCCAGTTTGACCGATGTTTGACCACATTTTAGAGCATGACCAACACGTTGACAAGAATGGCGAAGCAACTGGACCTGTGGACCTTTGGATCCAGGGCGAAGCAACACCAAGAGCAACTGCCCCTGGCAGCCTGTGGCATGCACCGGCCACCAGCATAGACCTATTTTGATAGCAACCTTTCGGGGGGAAATGGTCATTCACGCATGTTTTGTTTTTTTGTGGGTACTCGGGTACTGGTACCTCATGCAATGTTGGAGCAAACCATATCATGCAAGAGATGACCAGCACTGATTTTTTCCGAGCCCTATGGGCCATCCGTTTGTTGATTTGGGGGTTCAGAAGCGAAAACATAGCATTTAATACCAACCAATATCAAAAAAAGGCCCTGATTTTATGCGACTGCTATTCACATCCCTATACATCCCTTGTTTGAATCTCTTATCTCGACCACATTTGGCTTCACATGTGACGTTCACCATGATCTCAGGTTCTGAGGTGCTCCAAAGTGTGCAAGGAGAATTTGAAGCTGCCAAGGCTCAAATGAGGCGATGCCCCAGCCACTGTGGGAGGTTCAGGTGTTTCACCAGGATCTACCAGGGGCGGGTCGCATATGGTTGCATGGTGAAATGTCTGTGGAATTTTGTGTGAAGATATCAGGGTGGAGGACTGAAAACGGAGGATTTACATGGATTTACTCCCACTATCAGATCTTTGGTCATTTCCTATGGGTGCAAAACATCTCCGACCAGTGGATTGCAGATGCACCCGGATAAATTATGATGAATTGAGAAAAGACTTTGAACATATGTTGGGGCGATGGGAACCTGAGCTGCAGATGTCATGTTCATGAAAAAGCGACCTCCCTGGAGATCATAGTTTGTTGGTATCCACAAAAGCCTTGAATCCACTTGGGGAGTGATCATATGTAAAACACCAGTGACTTTTAATTTGAGGATATTTGCAATGTGGCCCACCCAGTTATAAGTTGGTTTATAAGCCCCAGAACTATAGTTAACTTAGCTATTTATTTCAAGCCATTTCTACCACTCCACCGACCACGGCCTGCCTGTGACTTGATCTCGGTCCAGGCATGACGTGGTGCAGCCCATCACTGCGTTGACCAATGCCCTTGACCGACTTCCCTCGAGGTAGGGTCCCACGTTGGGCGTCAAAAAATCGAAAGGTGGAAACAGCGAAAGTCAGAACCGTTTCAGTCAACGGGTTGGAAGTGCATCATAAAAATACCCTCTGGTAAATATACAAAAAACGATGGAAAATCACCATTGTTAATGGGTAAATCAACTATACATGGCCATTTTCAATAGCTATGTGTATGTTTTGCATGCCATCGTGGTTGATTGATAGTGCTGTTTGATAGTGCTGTTTGAGCTCCGTAAGAGAATGATGTTGTTGGCACCAGAACACAGGTTCCATGCCTCAGTCAGCTGGCATCAGTGCTTAGCGGGTCCCATTTACATCCGGGGGTTTAGGAGTTGAGAGTAGGCGCCTCGGTTGTGAGGCAAACGTCCTTTGACCAGAAATGCATTGTCTAAAGAACCGTCCCTACTTGGAGCTTCATTATCACTCATGTGGGAAACCCAAGGATCAACCTATCATTTGGGGATGGAATACCATGGAATACCCATAAAGATGGTGATGATTTGGGGATGGTTTATGGCATCGGGTTTCCCACAGGTTTCTAAGTTTGGACCAGGGTTACAGTGCTTCTTCACGGTGGTCGCTGCACCTTGAGCTGTGATGACTTAAACTGAAGATGTTCCCACTGTCCCCAATGGTCCATATGTTCCTCCTAATTCTTCACATGGGCATGGGTCGAAAATTAAAGCCACAGGGTTTGGTCATGTTAGCTGTTAATCATCCAATTTGTGACTGGGTTTCACCAATTTTCACAAAAATCTCCAGCGGTTTTCCTCTGAGGCTGGACGGACCTATTAAGCGCATCATCGAGGCTGAGGTGATGCCATCCCTGGTGCGGCTTGGTGGCAGAGCTTCGGAGCTTCGCTATCAGTAAGGAGCTATCGGCAGCTAGGTTTCGCGAGCACGTGATAGTAATGGGAGATGCAACCAATGCCAATATATCTATATCTTAAACACACATATTGTATATTATATATATATATGTGTACATATATATACATATATATATAAATATATACGTACATATATTATGTATGAACTTGTGAACGGAAAAAGCAAGGAAGAGGATGGAGAAGTATTTGGCTATGGTCAATACCTATAAATAGCACTTTTAGGGCGATGAACATCCAACTACCAGCTATTTTGATGTTCACAAGGGGTACCAAGCTTTTGACGTCTCAAACTTTGAATTGAAACTGAAGGACTTTTTGCCACCGGCCACGATGTTGCGCTGGACCATGGCACCCCAAATAGGCCAATGAATGCTCCATCAGAGGAGCCCAAGTGCCGGAAACCAGGCAACAAGTTTCAGTTCAGTTCTTATTCCAATTTGGGGGTCTAAAATGGAGGTACCCCAAATCATCCAAGGACAATGGATGACCATGACATCCATGACTTAGTTTTGAAAGCTATGGTGACTTTGGGGAGCCATCCCCATGAGATCCCCATGATGAACCCGTTATTCCCAGGTCTTTCGGTCAGAGCGTGAAGCGTATGGACGAGGAACTGAAGGTCGAAGCGAGTATTTTTTTTAATTGGGATATTCACAATTATCTACAGAAAGATCTATGGATAATCATTAGTTAATGGATATTATGGATATATATATATATAATGAATTATATACATGGATATTCACAATTATCTAATGAATTATATACATGGATTATTAATTAAATCATTACTTAATGGATATTTATTAATGGATTATAAATAAAAAACATGATAACTAATGGATTCATTGCTATTGACATATGATATCTATGGGCATATGGAAATTTTGGATATAATTGGGATGTTGAATGCTTGGGATAAATGGCTAGAGACAATTGGGATATTAACATATGAATAGCATTTGATGGATGACTAATGGATTATGCATGGATAAATAACGGATAAATAATTGATAATTAATGGATAAATAATGGATAATACATTGCTATTGACATATGATATGTATGGAAACATCATGGAACATATATATATATACATGCAATACACTATGATAAGCTATTATATCTGGATTTTATGGAACTAACAGACATGTCTTGGATTTGCTGAGTCGAAGATTTGGAAGCAAATCCAAGATGGATCAATTCAGGCTATCCAGTGGTGGCGGGAGCGGGACCTTAAGGAGTGAGATCGATCAACCGGAAACAAAAAGGGGAGCATTTTGAAGCTAATGAGAGGTTTCCCAACCACATGATCCGTATTTGATTATTTGATGGTTCTTTTTTGGGGATATGAACACTCGCGCCGAAGACCATGTTGACTGAATTTTGTCTCTCAGAAATCTTGAAAATTGTTTGGAAACCTTGGAACCCCCATCCTCTAAGGCACCTCATAACCAACATAAGCTATAGACCCCCAGCAATTTCCAATATATATATAGCTGGAAAATCAACCATTAATGCGATTCTTTTAAACCATATATATTATTTCCATGAAACCTTGTGGATTTCCAGGCATGTTTACATCGCTTCAGCTCACCAGCAAGGCCAGCTTTGGGCAAGTGGAGAAACAAAGTGTTCAAGTGGAAGAGCTGCAGAGGTGACGTCTGGTGGCTGGCATTCCAGGAAGGAGCCCCCTAGTTGTCAGCCACCAGAGTGACTTTGGTGACTAGATGTTGGTGGCTGAAGTGCAGTTGTAAGATGTTGTGAGTGATTTCAAAACTCCAACATGATCTAAGTTACTCTTATCATCCAGAAGTAAGATGAAGTAAGTTGTATTCACCAGAAATCCACGAGTTTAGCGCCTCATCGGAAAAAATACCTGCCGACGGGGGAGGCTGTTCCTGAATATCCTGAATACAAGTCAGCAGTATCCCACTTGCTGATGGGGTATAGCAAAAATAATTTAATATGCATACTATCCAGTTTTGTTGGGTTGATCCAACTTGATCTCGACCCAGCCACTTCACCGGTGTCATGGCAACATGCGTCCCCACAACGGCAGACAAACGATGGCCGGAAAGAAACCATCTCCAACTTAAGGCATGTTTAATGGATATGAAACAACATCCAGCAAAATCCAACAAACCATTTTTTTGAACATGTGATTTCACAAGGTCTACAGGTCAAATCTCTTGGGGCGGTTCGCCGCGCAAGCCTTCACCAGGCGCTCAGTGAAGGCTTGCGAACAGCTGCTGAACCACTTTGCGGAGAATACCCAGGACGCATCCAGTCACCGGGTTCAGCATTTTGTCAGGTTTTTTTTTAAGCATTCTATGACAGATCAACACAACTGGTAGATCACTTAGATCACTATGAAACAATTTGGAGCGACCAATGGGTCAATCTTGAAGCAGACTTGGGGTGAACCGAAGGTCGAAACAGGTCGTGAGTTGTGTCGTGCACATCGACTGTTTGACCCATGTCTCAGTGGATTTGCAATGTCAGAGGAATCAACGACACGAAAACAGGGTCCGCATGGTCCGTGATCATCATACCCAGACCATCCATGTATGTACTAGTACCATCTGGTACCTACGTTTACCCCATAATGTGTACGTATATACTGTAATCGATTACAATTAAAATCGTAAATAATCGTGTATGGTATACCACTTTTGGATACTTTTGGAGTTCCCAAGATGTAATCCATCAACCAGGCCGGTAAGGCCTAATTATCACTTATCATTTTGGTTTTGGTTGGGTCTGGTGCCTGCTCTGATGGGGTCTGAATCCATGGTGATTGTAACGAGCTTCACATTCTAAACATCACTGGAGTTCTTGCAATGGAATTACACACATAAATATATTGATATATGAGTTGTAAGCAAGATGCGAACATGAATATGTAACCAATATGCAACCATGAATATCTACATGCATGGATTGAACTACCTGTATCTATAAGTATACGATTGTTATGAATCATTGGACACCCAAACATCTCGAATCACCATGGAAAATAAAGATCCATGACATTTGCCCCAATCAATTTTCCATCTATGACATATTAGGGATTACTTGCTATGAACGCGAAAATATCTGGGAATACATATCTGGTTGGTGGTTTCAAACATGAATTTTATTTTCCATTTCATATATGGGATAATCCTTATAATCCTTCCCATTGACTTTCATATTTTTCAAGATGGTTAAAGCCACCAACCAGATATATATATATATATGTGCTTGGTGGACGCTTCATGAAGACATACATGTACACAAAAATACCGTCGTTTTGCGGCCATGGAAGCTATCCAGGACCAATTGGCTCAGATGCGGCAGATGCAGTCCCAGCTGCTGGATGGTGAGGAAAACCCAGCGGATCAACTGAGACGCTGAACAAAACACCGGGAATCACCAGGCTTATGGGAGCTATATACTATAAATCACCAAGTTTGGTTGTTTATGGCAGTTTCCCACATGAAAATTGGTTTAATTCAGTAGGACTAGGACACATCTTAATTCATCTTGACTTATCAGTTGATCGTATAAAATTCGTCTATTGAAACATATTAAGTTATCTTAATTCCAAGTTTTGGACTGTGTACTGGCAAATAAGATGAATTAAGATGCATCGTATTAATTCATGAATAACACGAATGATGATGTCATGAAGGATTATGATTAAACATCAAGGGGATCATTCGGGATAACTTCTTGATCCCCAAGTTGGGGATTATGGGATTATTACAACCATAAAAATAACCCCATGCGGGAAACATCCCAGTGGATCCCCATGGAACGGCCATGGGGAACACTAGGAACGGGGCTGATCGCTAGGGTGTCAAATGTCAAGCCAGGATTCGTGTGCAAACCCATTCCTTTTGGCAGGTTATCATGTTTTATAGTAGTTTACTATGACAACTCCTCTGATTCATCAACAGAGTTTCTCAATTTGGGGTTGATATTATCAACCAGCAGCAAATCAACGAACGATGGGTGTGTTAAACTTTCACGAACTCATCAATCAACAACAGTCGCGGGAAATTTAATGAGCAATTGACCGGTAGAGAACAACACAAAATCAACAGATAAAGGGTTGGTTAACTTCCGTTAATTTGTCAGTCAAGATTAAGAAGCCAAACTCTAGTTCCTCAGTGGCCATGAAACTTGGTACAGCAACTGGTTCATAATCATGATCATGAACCCTGTAGCCTAGTGGTGATGAGATATGCTCAGAATTCACCTCTTAACCTATCCGAACTTTACCCAAATCCGTAGTGGTAAGCAGGGTGAATTTCTCCGCTCAAAATGGAACGACCCCATGTCCATTTTGGGTTGGTTCTATCTTCATTGGTTGGTTCGTTGGCCCGCAGTTTTTCAGTTTCATCACAGTTCCCATTTTGAGATTATGATGCACTTAGAAAAGAGATCTGGGGATGTGAATGGAAACTTCATGGGAATACCCTCTGGTAAACTAACATAGCAATGGAAAATCACCATGTTTAATGGGAAAATCCACTTTTTCTATGGTCATTTTCAATAGCTATGTTAGTCATTACCAGAGGGTATATTCAAAGTGAGATTCCCAAGTGCAATTCTTCCACCCCAGGTTTTTGTGGGCGAACTCTGGCCTTGGTCAATTTCTGAAGTCACATAGCTGATTGGGGTTGATTGGGGATGTACTGGGGATACGATGGGATATTGTTCCATATACAATCAACATTGTTTGATATGATATCCTACAATATGATATCTTTTCTCATGTCTTATCTTTTTGATATGGTCAATGGTCTTTGTAATGGTATGTATGTATATAATTGTGTATGTATATATATATATATATCTATATCTATATAGAACATACATATATCATATATATATATACACATACCTTCATGCCCGTTCCCCATGGCCCCTTGCTGGGCCATGGCCATGGCCCTGGCCGCGGTCAAGGCAAGAAAAGCACCGCGGGAGATCTTCATCAACTGCTGCAGGCCCTGGCGTTGAGTGTTCCCTGTGGGAATTAACATAGAATATTAACATATAATATCTATGGAAGTATCATAGGAATATGTATATATACAATGTAAAACACACATATATATATAACAACAACAATAATAATTAATAATGATAATTAATAATAATAATTAATAATCATAATTAATGATAATCATAGTAGTAATAATATATATATATATACATAGATACCATTATATCATATTATATTGAATACATGGAAACAAATGTCTTTCAACCTTACGTCGTGACCTCACTGGAATCAAGGTTAGGATTGGGGGAATCATCCCCAAATGGCAGCGAGTTTCAGGTTAGTGAAGTATTTCAATTCACGCAGCTGAATATACCCTTTGGCAATAAAACGTGGCTACCTGGAAAAAAGCCTTTACATAGAGGTTTTCATGGGAAAATTCATGTAAATGGTGGATTTTTCATCTAGCCACATTTGATGACCGGAGGGTAGTTGGATATGATATGATATGATGAACATGGAGGAGATTAATAGTCGGATACACAACGAATTATCCCAAAAATGGACGAATTTCGCCATCAACCACAAGTGGGTGTTTTAAAACATGGAACACAGCAGTCCCTGGAGCAATGAAACCGTGGGATTTGAGTGAAGTCACGCCATGGGTGAGCAGTGACAACCCCTCTTGTTGATGGTTCATTTTCGGTATAAGCAGCACTTTTGGGGGTTGTACTACTATGATAACATATGATAAGCGTTTTTATGATTCATAATAAATGATACCTATCAGCCCACCAGTACATAGAATGTAAAATGGGATGGGATGACGATGTGGCTATTTTTCATGGCCGAAAAGCTCAGATGGGCACGGGTCAAATTTCAGACGCAGGGGACAGCAGATAAAATGGCCAATTGTTGGAATTGTAAAGCATTTCATTTTGGGGTGCTACTCCATTGCCGTTCATGTGACAGACCCAATAAGAATCCAAAAAACACATCCCACACAGGTGAAATTGAGGTGAATTTAAAGTAGATTATTGTACAGCAGTCATCCTGAAGTAGATACTTTTTGGATTCTGTGGATTCTTGGATTCTTCCAGGCTTTTCCTGGTGGGGTTGGTGGAAGAGAGGCTGAAGCAAGTGTTGACAGAGCCCCACGGTCCCACGCCGCAAAGAAGAGTCGTCCAGTTGGGTCCAACAGCTGGTTGGGTCAACCCAAGCTGTGTTTTTTGCTTGCTAGAACATAGGTCTATCGAACAATGGGGATACCTTAAATTGCCCTTTGAATGGGCAACATGATTTTCTTCATCATGGGAATCTGGGATACCCGTTCTTAGTCAAACGCAGATGATGAAGGCTTTCCTGAAACAAGTTGAGCTATAAAAAAGTAGCCTTGTTTGTTGGTGCCGGTGATGAAATTGAGGGTTAATTTGTACCAACTGGTTTAGTACTTAAAGGGGATAGATATGAATAGGGATTTTGGGGATTGTTATGATCCATAAGAGGAATAACATGGAATACCTATTATCCTTGAGTGTCATCACATGGCTGCAAACTGCCCCAGCACTAGTTATGTCCAGTTCCTCTTCGCGCAAGGCCAATCATGACCTTCATGGTGTCATCGAGCAGAAGGTGGATGCATTGCTCTGGAAACATACCAAGGAATATGCTGTGAAAGTTGATTTCGGCCACTCAACGCACGACGGGATGATGGGAAGAATTGGGAAGATGATGGAAGATGGCTGTCTCTGAGAAAATTGGGATGAACCATGATGAACCCAAAAAATGGTCATTTTTTGATAGGGAGAATGAGGATTCATCATAAATCTTCAGCGACCCCATTCTGCCATTTCAGACAATATTAATTAAAGCTAGCAGCGTGGTAAACACCGATGGTTTTCAGTTTCGATTTCCTAAAATCCCTTGAAGCTAGGTACTTCGACAAGTCTGCGATTGTTCGGAAAGTCACCGGTGCTGTTTCGGTTCAGGTCCCGAAAGTCCCAATTGGGATGGACATCTGGAAGGCTTTTGTTTTGTTTTTTTTTTGTCATGAACATTTCTCCAAAAAATTGGGGATGAAGGTCCCAGGCGTGGCGACAAGGCGACAACTTCTTCCTGGAAGCTGTTCATAATAGAAACACATAAGAACAGATAAGTAAACTCCTTATAAAATAATGAGCAGTTGCTTAGGATTTTAGGGGGGTTACTCTAGTAATATGTTTTCCCTTAAATCTCATGTTGCTCACTATGAAACTCTTCTTTTTTCGTGGGTGACTTTCATACAGAAGTTCTCCGATTCATGTGGATGACAGAAAAGCTGCTGAACCGTCATGTTTTCCGGGATACTTGCCGGAATGATGGGGGATTCCATGATGAAATGAAAGAGATGTTTGTCGTTATTTTAAATCATATTTCTGAAGGTCAGTGATCCTTTTTTGTGTTCATCTGCTTCCAAAGAACTCTGTGGTTCCAAGGACAGATGCCCAAGGCCCGAGCCGAGGCGTGACAAGTCCCTCGGGGAAGTCACGAGTTTGTCATCGTTTTATTGCTGACATTTGCACTGAAATTGATCAGATTGCAACAGAAATTGATCATTTGCAAATCATTTTCTTTGTTTCCCTTAATGACATTTAATGATTTAATGACTACTTTGGGGGGCCCAGAGAGATGTGATATTGTTAAATGATTGCCCACTATAGATTTTCAAGATAGCAACCTGGCCCTTTTTCTTGGATGCTCAGCTGTAGCTTGCCGGCGACCTGGAGACCTATGATGGGATCACCAAACAGACGGGGCGGACGCAGGTATGCAGTGACTTTGCTGGGTATATGGTATGGAATCGATGCCTCAAAGTTCACATTCAGGTACCAAATATCAGCTGTTGACCCTGGTAGATTTTACCCTCTGGTTATGACTAACATCGCCATGGTATAGATGGCCCATAGAAATAGATGGTTTACCGAACTTAAAAATGGTGATTTTCCATGGCTATGTTGAATAACCAGATGGTATATGATTTTATATGATTTTATCCAGATGTTCAGGAGCCAACACCTCAATTGCCGGTGGCAGGAAGACATGGCAGCGATTTCAGCAGTCACAGAAGTGATGCACAAGGCGAAGCGGTGCATCCTTCAAATGTCGATTCTCAAGCTACATTTCATGATCTTTCTGTCTGGAATTCTGATGGTCACTACAGTTATCACCAAAACCACCCGAATGTAGGCAAACTAATCCCCCGGAAACCGCCGTTGAGTAGGGGCGAAATTGAGACATTGGACCATTCACCGGTTGAAGCTCTGGGGATGGGCTTTCTTTGCTCACAGATGAAGTTCCCACTTCGACTGGAATCTGATAAGCAAATATATCAAGTTTGGACACTTTCAATCTCAAGAATCATCAGAATTAATCCTACCCGGTTTCCCATTGGTTTATGCAGCTTTGCCTCACAGAAAAGGGGGTTGAAGTGCCGCCAGGTGGACGTGACGTTGGCGGACTTTGATGAGAAGATGCAGGCACCAAACTGTCGGAGTTGGGAGCAAGTCATGGAGATGGAGAACCTATTTCCACCATATTGAAGTTTCTTTTGCAGCAAAAAATGGGAGGTGATGTAATTGATACATATTCATAGCCTATTGATACATGACATGCACATAGTAAATTATATGGATACAATGATACATGTATTTGGCAAATTGCCTTTGGAAAAAGAATGGGGCTTGAAATGGTTTTGAAATCAACATCCCCAATGAAGCTTCGGAACATCCTGTTTGATGATTTTCAACGACCTGGTGGTGCGAATCCTCCAGGGGTGGACACCGTCGCCAGGGCTGGCTGGTTGAGAGCATGCAAGCCTATAAGGACTGCTGGAGGGACTCGGACTGGGATGTCGGCAACACCAAGAGGAGACAGCAGTTGTAGTACTCGGGATTTTCGGCCATAGGCCACAGGGGTTGGTAACTGTCCCATTTTGGGAATATTGGACATCACCTTATAGTAGCCATTATAGACCATATACCTAATGGTTGGGTGATGTTCAATGGGGACATTTAATGACCCATGTTGAACCATCCTTTTTGAGGCTACCTGATTTGGACCCATACCAAGATCAATGAGAATGGATCAAACCTAAGTAGACCTCTCAACAAATGACTTCGAGAGGGGGGTCTCAACGAGCATCCGCATATTGAGCCTTGCAGGTTCTAAAGATGTTCGACTATATTCATCCTTTGGAAGATGCCAAGTGGCTAATTCAATTCTATATAAAAGTTGGGCCCAGTGTGGCTCAAGCGCCCTCCATCTATTTTTTGAGATAGCCCTTAGCCATCCTTAGCCCATGTTTGTTGGTACATGATGCCAGAATATCGCTACCAGGATGATCCAGTTGTTTTTCTTCAGTATGATCCAAGCACCTGCTACTGGTTGTATCATTGGATTAATCCCTGCCACCGTTCGGGAATCCTCTCCCGAAATTTTTCGCTTATGGCGGCAAAATCATCCTACACATGGGGGACTTTTCCAGCGGAGGGTAAGAGCTATTCGGCTGTTCTTATGATGACAATATACCCGTATCCATTTGACATAAGTAAAGCAGGTGGTATAACTTAACCCAGACAAAATCAATCACCACCTGATGTTAGCACAATATGAAACACATAGTATATAGGTGGTATCACTGAGATCACTTATTCACTGTCCATATTATATAATTCATCAATCAGCCCCTAGACTTCATCCATATGCCCATAGCCTTATTTTTTTGCACCAGCCTGTCAATGGTCCCAAAGATGCATGGGTGTTGAACAGGAACGGGGGGAATGGATTATTCATGAACTTATATATATATAAACACTACCCATGAGATTATTCAATATATCACCCATTCTAATCCAGCCATAGTCCCATTTTTCAAACCATACGTGAACCATGAACAACTTGAAGAACTCCACTCAAAATCCCATTCAACAATTATTTTCCCATGATATTCCCATATGAAAACCATGATATTTTTCCCACCTGAGTTTCCACCATTTGTTCTTTGGGGAAACCCAAAGACCAGGTCAGCCCTGCGGAGAACGTGGCCCGCGCCGTGGAGAGTCACTGTGGTTGTTTTTATCACAGATCGGTGGGATTGGTGGTGAAAGTTTCACCAAAGATGGTGGAAAAGCCTAGGAAAAATGGGTGGTTTCATGAGATCAAGTGATTCAAGTGGGACTGTAGTGGCAAAAAAAGAAGTGCTAGTTGCATCACTGGCTAGTTGAATCTTTGATCATTTTGAGCAATTGGAAAATCACCATCACCAGCAAAAGCCTATTTTTGTGTGGACTAAATCAAGGATCCATTCTTGGTGAAAGGATTCCAGACATGGTGGAAAACCAGTTCTTAGTTCTACCAAGAAGCATGTATTATATAGATATACGTGTGTAGTTGTGGACCTGTGACATATTGATACACTTAGAGTTTGATAAAGCCTGCATCAATCTGAATCATAATCTTTACAGCCAAGGATCTACCGTTTGGATCTGGAGGGTTTTGATAGTTGGTGTTTATCATTGAGTTTACCCCCGACATCCCCCAACCAAACATGTTGTTGTTTTTTATATAATCTAACCAGATATGAATGAGGATTTGGTGGTGGTAATTTTAAGCAAAGTTTGCAGTAGATGTTGTGCACCACTAATGACCATTTGTTTTGTAATTTATAATTTATAACTGCAATAACTAGGATTTATGGGGGTTAGATCTACAATATATATATATATACATAACGGGGATCATAAACCAACGTGTAACTGGGGGGGTACCACCCTGTGAGGACCAACATACGGTAGGACGTTGGCAAAGCTTGGGTTTCTGCATCTGCGTTCAACAGCAGATAGAACGAGCTGGTTACAGGACCACAGGAGGGGAAACATCCGATTAATAAACATCGAGCCGCCAGAAAGGATTCGGCGGTCTTTTGAATATGGGTCAAAAAGGCAGAAAACAATTGTCAGACTAGATTACCTGATTTTGGGTAAATTGTAACGACCTCACTGCGACCTCACTCGAATCATGGTTAGTAAGGGAAATCATCCCCAAACGGCCTTCATTCAGGTTAGTGAAATATTATAATTTACCCAGCCGATTACCCACTGTGAACAACCATTGCTTGCAAAAATAGAATACCCACCACACTCACCTCCCAGTGATTTCAGGGGGTATGATTGACCTCCAATGCCCCGATGCGATGGTAAAATTTAGGTTTAGTATAGGTTCATATTTATATAATAGAATTAATCACTATGGATACAACTATAGTAACCCCTGACAAGAAGTTAGAACCGTAAATTACAGCACCACTGTTTTTTAAAAGTAGGACAGGATTGAACTTTTCCATCTCTCACATATATATATATATATTAGATTAGATTAGATTGATAGATTAGATGAGATAAGATAGGTAGACTAGATTAGATTCGATAGATAGCTGTCTCCTATGGGCCGATGCGCCATGGATTCCAGGTCAGAACGTCGGGGTGCAGTGCGAAGGCACTCAGGCGGATCGGATCGGATCATCCCGCTGGGGTCCGTTTTTTCTGGATTTTTTTCACGTTTTTCTTGATCCAAGATGGAACATTTAAGGGAAATATATGGGAAAAATATATATCTGGATAAATGATAATCAATGGGAATTCTCATTCATGAACATTAAGGAACTTCGTAAGGATGAAGAAGAATGGATTATCCACTTTTTTTCAAAAAGATCAGCTGGTAATTTACCACATTTTACCACTTTGCGAAGTGGACAATCACATCAGTCGTCACTGTTTGATCCTTGGTCTCGTCCTGCTTAGATGAGTGATATCAGGATGAAGGTCACCAGTAGTTAATCCACCATCAATAAATTGGGAAAAACAAAAAAACATGTGACTTGGATTCGCTGAAGATGATCTAAATGTATTTTCTCAATGCTTAATTGACCATTTAGGGAATCCTTTGGAACCATTTAGGGAATCCTCTGGAATATGTTTCGATTTTTTCTGAGGCCCTAAGTTAGCAGATCTGGAACAGCAGGGGCGCCGATTTAGTTCGAACGTCGTGGAGCCGGTAGATCTCCATGGATAACAACTCCGTACGGTTTCCACGCGTTAAAAAACGCGGTGCGGCGGTCAAAATCTCACTCCACTTCTACATCTTCCACATCTTCCACTATAAACTGATCGAAATTCAGGTTCCCTGAATATGTTCTAAATGAGTTTCCAAATGTCCGAATCTACCAAATGACCAAGTCTACTAAAATTACTTTATCCAAATGTATCTAAACACGAGGCCATGGAAGCGGCGGTTCAGACGGCGGGCGAGACATCTACAAGGCCAGGGAGCCCACTGGAATGACGGTTTATGTTTATCTTTGTATAGGGGGAATCCTCCCCAAACCTATTTGAGGTTCGTGAAATATGATACAAGACACCCAGATTCATATGATTCATTAGACACCCACACATCGTCTCATCATTGAAAATCATGGGATAATAGTGGTCAGTGACTAATAATGGGATAAGAATGGTTTATAATGGTGAATATGGGGGTTTCCATCACTGGAGGTACCCCAAAGTTTGGATGGTTTATAGCGGAAAAAACCCATTGAAATGGATGACTTTGGGGTACCCCCATGACTTAGGAAACCTCCATGAATTCAGATGGGGATGGGTCAAAATTTAAGCCCCAGAAGGGACCACAGATTGAAATGTATATCTTTAGTATTAATAGCATTTTACCATCTAATTATTGGGGTACCCAATGACTTTACCTATACCCATATATAACGGATTTTTCAATTGGATATATTCCCAACCCTCAAAATGAGGAATCTACAATTGGATCATGGGATTTTGATCCCAGCCGTTCATATGAACCAATAGGATCCAATAGAGAGATAACAAAATTGTGGGAGATTCATGGGGATACACGGGTGTTTTGATGTTTTTTGCCTAATCAACTATAATTAATCCCCTCAGCGCATGTTAAAACACCCCCTTCAAGTATGGTCCCGAACATGTGTAATTTCCCACTAAAACCTGGTTTCTGAGGGGTGTCTATTTTTCTGAGGGAAGGGATTAATTGCAATTGCCATGGAATTATCACGGAATTATATATGTATATATATATATAATATGGATTATTGGGTTCTACAAGGGTCTAGATAACATGCAATGATATATGATATAATAGATATTGTATGCAATGATATATTTTACATGGGTGGTGTTTGTAGCATGCAATCTCTTTTTGGGAGATTCACCCCCAGCATAGGGCACTTGACACCAATGCGATTCAACATGGCAACAAGACTGGGCTTGAATCCATGAACGGATTTGACCTCATCAGAATGGCAATTTCATGCAACAGGAGATACTCTCTGGTAAACATACAAAAAGCTATTGAAAATGGCAATTTGTAGTTGATTTACCCATGAAAAATTGTGATTTTCCATAGTTTTTTGTATGTTTACCAGATGGTAGAATGGAGATACCATCAGGATCCATCAACAAAACGGCCTTTCTCTGAAGTAAGAAATGGTGGTGGTTTATTGGCTTACCAGGTCCTCCACCATCTCACCGAGCTACCCAAGAATTGTGGCGCGTTTTGTTTGCACTCTAGTGAGTTATAAGTAGGAGAAGTAGGGTAAGAAGGGTCAGTCCATAAGGGAGGTGAACTAACCCACTTGCGATTTGTGGGGTGAACCAAGCTTCTCAATGTGAAATTTCCAGTTGGGGATCAGAACTTTGTTGGGGCTTTCAGCTCTGACAACTTTGAAATTGGAAAATTTCTGAAAAAAAGGGCAGTGTTCCATATGTTCCATCATGTTAGCAGTTAGCATCTATAATCTATGGACTGATGGTTAGTACGGGGTAACTATATGTAACTATCCCAAAATAGTCTTATTCCAGGTTTGCAATTTGCAATGACTGTCATTTGTCCAGATCCTACGAGAGTTTTTCATGTTTTTCAACATGTCGCACCCCAAACTGCACCAGAAGCGGCTATGCTTGGGGGTCCGTTTTTCATTTACAGAAGGCTCGAGTTACACCTCCCCCTATTCAAGTTCCCTTGCTCCGACTTAACAAAAAAGACGAACCAAGATATCTGATGTTCCGTGGTCTTGAAGATTGTTGATCCTTTCGGACCAAGCACTGGGTGCGCTGACCTCCAGTTGTCTCATTGTCTACATGTTTCTTCTAATCGCGCGAGCTTGTATTATCTTGTATTGGGATATCTATGCGTGCTTCATATTCTCTCCTTCATCATCTTCAAACTCATACTTAATAAAACTGCAGCCACAATATGCTCAAAATTGCCGCGTTTCAATTGATGACAAAATATATAAAATATGGCCAAATAACTTTCTAGACAACCATGTAAATAAGTTCGGATTGTTTCAAGTTTATAACAACTAATATCTCAATATTACATATATAAAAATACACAGTTATATAATATATAGTTTCATATCTATTTATAATCACATGTATTTTAATTATGTATATATATAATCATATATATATAATCACATATATCTATATATAATCATATATACATATATATATATTGTAATATATATATATAAATTGTATATTTATATAATATTCAATGCACAAATCAGCGATTCGCCACTTTTGAAGCATTTCCACCAGGAAGAAGAGGCCACGGCCCACGCGCATCACCATGCGTCAGTCGCGTGTCTCAGTGATGGAGGCAGGAAGGTCCGGTGTGTTTTTGATGTTCGTCTATGGCTATGGTGATTCATCCCAGTGAGCAGAGTTGAGGCCAACAAAAACTTTTGGGGACCCTCGACATGGAGTCAGCTAAAGCTTTCAGGTCAACTATGCATAAAACAACGATAATCAATATCACTCAAACAGGTTGGCGTACTTTGTAGTGGGCCAGGTTATTAAGCTATTCCGGGATTCGGCTTACTTTATTGAAAGGGTTTTTTTGTCATCGGATGTAAACAATCATAATTCATAATATATGCGCGCTTTTTATCTACATATGTAAAGATATGGTTTGTGCATGTTTGTGCATACTTTGTAAATGGTTAAATCCTCATCATCGTGGTAAAAAAATCCACCTCGCGACGTCACGGCAAATGATCGGTAGTAGGCTAGTAGGGGAAGATGATTCCATTTATGCATCTTCATGCCCGATTTTTTTCAGGTGAATTATTCTAATTTTGTGTGTATCGTTTACGTTCTTTCTTAAATGCTTGAAATTGGGTTTTACATGGTTTGTGAGGGTTGAAACCCACAACTGCTGGTTTGTATGGTTGATATAGGGTTTACATGAACGATGTATGTTGGAATTCAGAAGCCAGACAGATACTTGTTTATATTTGGGAATTAATGGTAAAACAATGCAGTGACGTGTTTGAGGGACTTCATCCGACCAAAGAAATTGAAATTTTGGTTATCAAACAACTGGGTAATTTGTCAACAAAACAAGGGTTTTGACGGATTTTGCCAACAAAATACGGAAAGTCAGCAATGAATGTTGGGTTTCGGCATGGTGGTTTAATTGAAAACCAATTATGATTATTACACACCGATACCTGAGTCTATTCTCTGCGGGTGTGTCCCCAAAAAATGGAACCCACTTCTTCCAGAGGCAAATCCCATGTTTGTTTGGCTTACCTATGCACCCCCCAGTGGTCCCCTTAAATTGGGTATTTGGAATGCAGTTCTTTTTTTCATATTCTATGATGTGCAGTTTGGGTCGTTTTTTCAGTGTGGGGGCAGGTAAGATTGTTTTGTTATTATATATGCAAGCATCAAACCCTGAAGAGTGATGCAGCCCATATGTTAGTGCAGCACACAACTGAATCATGTGGCTTGTGCAGTGCCTACAGCAAGCTGTAGCCAGTGGTGAACATTGTTTGGAAAGGGCTTGATTGTTGCACCCACCCCCCTGACCCCTTCTTGGCCCAAGTGCCTATTTCCAGCCTGTGGGGCTGTGGTGCTGCCCAGTTGGTAACTGGTTGGCCAGATCCAGTTGCCAACTGGGTAGCTCTGTCTTACAGATCATTGGAGAAAAAGTATGCTTGCCTGTGTGATGCTAGTGGCTGCATGCATGTATGAAGGGTTGCATATCAACACATCCTCGGCAAGGAATTCTGTTTCTCAGGCAGAGCTGTCTCCGACCATACGATCACAGGTTGGAACATCTTGGAACTCTGGTAATCAAATACCCTCTGGTAAACATACAAAAAACGATGGAAAGATCCACCATTTTCAATGGGTAAATCCACTATTTCTGTGGTCATGGTCAATAGCTATGTTAAATTACCAGAGGGTATGTCAATATGGAAAATCCACCATTTGGATCCAGCTGGTGATTTTTTCCCATGAAAATACAAATTTACAAAGGCTTTCCCAGCTAGCCGTGTTGAACTACGGGAGCGCATCCACCTTAGCCGTGCTTCGCAAGCGTCTCCTTCGCCGCTTGCGCGGCTAGGTCAAAGACAAAGTCGCCAAGAGAGGCTGCAGTGGGAGCCAGGGGGGCCAATTTCGGGGCTCAAATGACTGCAGCTTGGGAACTTGGGTTCCCCTTGACTGATTTTTCAACCAGACTTGGGATGTCTGAGACGACTGATGAAAAAACTTGAAACCACCAGTTGACAATTTGGGTCTGGCCATTTTGGGTTTGTCCCAACAAACAGCTTTTGAGATCCAACATGATCTGAGATGTTGCTCGAGATGTTATGACTTTGGTGTCCGAAAACATGTCTTGAGATCCATTGAGATCCACTCAAGATGCTGACCAGTTCCACAACATTAGCCGTGCTTTTTGTTGGGAAGAGCCCTTCGGTTGCTAAGATGCAAGTCTCAGCCATTTTCGGGGTATTGAACACTTGCT